AGGGGGGTCACTGGCCACTGGCACCGTTATCACAAATGGTTAAGCGATCGAATCCCAGATTCAATAGTATGGTGGCCAAGCGAGGGCCATCGCGGTGTAGTTGATTTGCGGTTGCAGATCTATTTGATTTTGAGGGTTTCATTTTGAGAAGTAAAGCTTACTTGTGTATTGGCTGGTTCTGAAAGTTACTGTGTAAGCTCACCACATTGGTATGATACTACTATTTTTACACTTGGTATCGTCGCAATCAGTCGGTGCGGTGTCAAGGGAAACAAGATGAGCCCACCCGCAACGTTTCCACCACTTGGTTGTTTTCTTCTTCACTAAATCGATCATCAAATGATCACCATTGGTAGAGCAAGGCTATCGGGCAAGCAAGGTATTCCGCCTTTCGGACGCCGCCCCGACAGACCGCGACGACATCAACTTCAGTGGAAGTAAAATACATCGTTTACTATTTACCTGCTGGTTGATCACTTCTACCATGTATCTAATGTAGATGATTAGGATGTGGTTGTCAGGGCCGGGTAAGGCTAGCTGACGCTTGTGAAATTCTACGATCTAATTTATTCAAATTAATAAATCAAATGCATGGGCGTCGATGCCTGTGGAAAAGGTCATTTGTTATTCTTCTTATCAGTTTCCCCATTTTTTGTAGCATTTCCCTTGCAGCATTTTACCAGTAAAGTCACCTCTACCAGCTTTCCTGTGCCTTCGTAATTGCTTGCTAGTGAAGTTATCCAGAGTACTAAGGAGTTCGCTCGAAATCATTTAGCTTCTAAATTGTAGGGGAGTCAGCTTTTCCAAGCTTGATACCAAGAAGTTGGCCTCATGAGGATGGGGTAAGTTCCTGTCTAGCGCTATTAGATGTCACGAGTTGAGTTTCTGCATTTTGGGGATGAATCCATGATGGGACTTCAAACTTGGTGGTAAGTCAAGCTAATGTAGTTAGATGCATCCATCCAGACAATCCCACCCCTTCACTCCCTCCATTCGCAGCAGGATGTTTTGCATTTTGCACTTGGTGCTCTCTACTGTTAACAGTTCGTCTAAGTAAATACTGAGAATTTGTTAGTTTGTTCCTCGTGAATTAAATCGTAAACAATAAGGCAGAGGTGGTATAGCGATAAGTGGCGAAATCTCGGCTCGACTCCCCCTTGGACGACCCAAATACGTGAGGTCCGCCAAATGGTGGCAGTCTCACCTGAGGGAACAGAAGCCCGTATACATAGTCCTTCCCGAGATCAGACGTTTGGGTATGTCAGAGGGCTTACATTGGAGCGACGCTATCTCGTTTCCACCGATTTTTGCGTGCATCAATAAGTGGTTTAGGAGGCTGGCGTCGCGGAACCCTGGCGTCGGCGGTCCTTCGCAAGTGACTCGCTTTAGAAAACTGCTTTAATGCAGAATGTGGGTCAGTTTTAGGGCGCGATCTGCAAACAGACTGATCAACATTGAGGGCTCCATCCTTTTCAAACTTTTTATGATAGTAGCGATGATAGCTCCGTGAGCTTGGTGATGTTTGGATACATTGGAATCCCTTGAACGTCACTGTCACCCACTCTGGCTATAAAACGATTGTAATGAGGGACCAATTAAACACGTGCTCCCTCGATCAGTGCGCAAGCCACCCACGAGCACCGCCCAGATTCACGTTCTCCTCTGATTTATGTTCAATGGATCAGCTGTTCCAGCGCCGTTCTAAACTGAGGACTGGTTCCGGTTAAAAAAATAGGTAGGCAGTTTTGAAGAGCTGGGAGAACTTGGGAGAGGTAATTAATTCTCTCTTGAACCTCCTCATCGTTTCGTTAAACAGTCTGGAGGACACAAAGAAGGAAGATGAAGATGTAAGCTGAGCCCTTCACGTGT